ATCCATCCATCCATCCATCCATCCATCCATCCATCCATCCATCCATCCATCCATCCATCCATCCATTATCTATACCTGTTTCTTCCTTCCAGGGTCATGGTTGTCACTGGTGCCCATATCCAGCAGTCACAGCGCGATGGGCGGGGTACACCCTGGACAGGTCACAAGTCCATCCCAGAGTATTGTATTTATGGACTTTTTAAAAACTACTGATCAAATATAGTCCCTAAAACTGTAATAATTATTGTATATCTGACAACACTGTCAAACATCTCTTTAAAATGAGTTCTGGACCTGAATGAAGTCTTTTGCGGCTGTGGTACCAGAGAAAATCGGAGTGACCGGGGAAAACTGACAAACAAAAGGAGAACATACAAAGTACACACAGAGAATCTGGGCCTTGCACCCGGTACAACAGTACTAACCAATAAAATCATGATGTAATGCTGCACACAGTTTTAACTTTTTTTACCTACATCTTTATGGCTTTGGTGTTTCTATTTCATTCTCTGACAATGTTTGCACATAATCTAGAGGCTGAACTGGCAGGTAGAGTCAGATTGGAAACCTGTTCCTAAACACTGACTACATTTCAGWGAAGAAGATTCAGTTTTGATTAAATGGGGAAAATGCTGTGGATTACAAACAGATCTAATCTCCCTGTGGTGTTTTCTATTGGAGAGCCCTCCACTGAGACCAGAGCTGGACTCCACCCAGAAACTCACTTTACTGACAGGTATGGGATTCTATCTGCAGGGTTTTAGTGCACAAAAGAAAATAATACATGTATTCAGAGCCATGTTTTGTTACGTTTTAGTGCTCTTTTTTTTTATTACAAATGACTGTGTGTGCCTGTAAAGAGTGACAGTCCCTCACAGAGATGATACCTCTGGTTTTGGTAAAGGACACTGTTTGGGCTTCAGACTTCAGCTACTTGTGTCAGCACTGCCAGTGAAACATAGCCACAGCTGACACAGCTAAAGACTAATGGGGTTGGGGGAGGGCKGGTATCTGAGTAACTATTAGTTTCTCCGTTTTGACTGAGATTTATGAGGAGAAAATGAGGAAATAAAACACCTGTAAACAAGCAATTCAGGCCTTCTTTGACAGTTTAGCATTCAAATTCAATTCAATTCAATTCAAATTCAAAAATACTTTATTGATCCCAGAGGGAAATTTGGTAGCTGAATTTGGTAGTAATTCAGAGCTGACCAACGAATAATATCCAAAATAACTGACATTTGACTACTTTTTCAAAGTAATTAAAATATTCAGTATCTGCTCTCACTTTACCAGACATTTTCTTAAATACCAACAAAAAAAAACTTTTTTACGTGGATTGCAGTGCCCATTCTTAATGAAAATACTATATTATATTTACGTAAAATACAGTGTCTACAAGCTTCRTTTTCATGTGGCAGAGCCTGTATTTATCACGAAGCTGTGTTATTTCCCTTAACCAGAACCAAATATTATTTTTTCTCAGCACAACCAGGCACTTTCTGAACTTCACCCAGTGGCTTTAGCTGAAATATCAAACCAAAGAATATACTGTATTATAAAAATAGAGACTGAACAGGCAGGAGGACTTAAACACAGACTAAAACAACAATGCTGATAATGTTAAACAATACAAGAACTATTTCCTGCTGCTGATGAACAGAAGTCTAAGAGCTGAAAATGTTTTTTGTTAAATCTAATTTATCATTTGTGCATTACTTCCACAACAAACAAACAAAAAAGTATATAAAACAATACTAACAGCAATAACAATTAAATT